TCTCTACAGCGCACCCTCTGCCCTGGGTTTCCTTGTGTGTTTCCTGACCCTCCTTCATGGGAGTTGTCTAGGATTTTGGATCACAGAAACACAGTTGAGCTGGTGGTGAAGGAGGTGCTTCTCCCTGGTCTTTCCACTCCGTCCTGCGAGCCCTGACACGCTCTTTCTCACGTTGCTTTTACCAGCACTTTGCCGCGGAAGCACCTGGCGTATACTGAATACCTGCCCACTGCCTTCCCTGGCATGGTGAGCACAGAGCCCCATGGGAGGCAACACTAAAGTCAGAAATTGTCCCGAGCTGCCTCTGGATTAAACTTGTGGCTTGGGGGAAAAGTAAAAGCAGACCTGAGACAACAGCACTGACCCCCTTGCTTTCCCCCTACAAGCAAGAAGACAGGGATGGTCAAGGGGGAGGCTCCTCAGAACCTGCCCTTCCACCTTCCTGGGACATCTGGACTACCCTCAGATTGCAAAGTACTAAGCTTTAAAACAATGACATATACTTAAATGAGATTTGGTTAATGCAGTGTTCTGACACATTAGGGCAAAGCAGTTCTTACCGTGTATACCTGTAGTTCCAAGAGGAATGGATTAGGAGGTCGCTTCCCACGGGTCTCAGTGAGCATTATGGTGCTTAGCAACACACACAGCTCTGCTCTTCAGGACAAAGGGGCTGAAAAGCACATAATCAAGCACTAGAACATTATAATATTTAGTATTATTGATTCATGTGTTACAATGGACCTTCTGTAGAAGGAGAAAATGAAATCTGTTCAATAAAACAAAAGGAAAGAGCTCATTAGAATGAGAAAACAGCATAGCTCTGATTCCTAAGAACTTAGCATAGCTCTGAATATTTTGCCAACCGGGAGTTGTGCAGGTAGAGCACAGGCTTGTGATGTTCATACAGGTGGAAAACGATGTGCCTGCTGCTCCAGTCCAAGAGACTCTGGAAGAGCACTGTTTCGGTTTGGTCCTGGATGTCCTCCCAAAGCCTCCTGCAGTCAAGAGTGTGAGAGCTACACCTGCCCTGGCGGATAGTTTGCATACGTAAGGGAGAGAAAGAGGCTGCTTGCTGCCACTCCTCCCTTTTGCTGTTGTTGCTTTGGCTGTCCTCTGCCGCCATGAACTGTAGCCCTCTACCATGTGCCACTCTGCGTTGGAGCCAGCCCAGTATGGACTAAAACCTCCACAAACTGTGAGCTAAATAAACCTATCCTTCCTTAATTTGGGGCATTGGGTATTTGGTCTCAGCAATGAGAGAAAAGTAACCAAGACAAGGACGTCCCAAACAGCCATGAGAGAGAGGAAAAGCCACGGGACTGTTTCTCTGGATGATAGTAAACAACAATGCCCAGTGTACATTCCAATTTCAGATCTGTTCAAGCCACTGACTGCTGAGGTACAGTGGAGTAAGTTGGAGCTTATCAGAAGGTTTGAAGATCCCAAACAGGAGGAAACAAGGAATAACTTGCCTTGTATTCAGGGGTAACACTTGAAAGAGACAAAGTTTCCACTAGTGTCTTGTGAAGTAGGTAATCCAGTTGTGAGGATCAGAACTATGGTAGTTTAGTATATTCAGTGGACACAAAAATACCCTGGAATCGATTTTAGAGAAAGGTAAGATTTACTTTAAGTCATGAGCACTGTGGAAATAATTCAGAGGAAGTTCCTAGATTGCTTGTAATTCTAAATAAATATATGATGTAATGGCTTAGGATGCAAAATGAAAGGGATATAACACTGGATCAGACCAAACTGGTTAACATGGGAACTTTAACCAGAGATTACGATTTCCAAATTTCAGCTGAAGGGATAGGAATAGCTCCAAGTTCTGCTAGCTGGTCCAAACAAATTGCCCTGTATTTAATGAAACTGAAATGTCAGGCCCTCCACAATAGGACTACAGGAAATTATCTAAACCCTGGAGGATAGTAGAAAGCTACAAGTGATTTCCCATGTAAAACCTGGTCCTCCTTATCAGGAGGAGGAGAGAGCATGCCTTTCACCTTGGTTGTGGAAACTTCAGGAGGATAGGCTCTGCACCCTGGAAGGGCTGTCATTCCGATCTTCCCTACTGCAATTGGATTCTTTTTTTTTTTTTTTTTTTCCCCTTTGGTCTTTTTGAGATAGGGTCTAGCTACACATTTGAGGCTGGCCTTGAGCTCACTTTGTAGCCCAGGCTGGTCTCGAACTCCCGATGATTCTCCTGCCTCAGCCTCCCAAGTGCGGGGATTACAGGTGTGTGCCACCACACCCGGTCTGCAATTGGATTCTTAAATGCATGCTAGGACTTGACTGAAGGTAAGTGGGAACAAGTGACAGGATTCAATCACCATGGGTAGGTGACTGTGGATGAGGTCATGGTCTGTCAGGAGCAAGGCCCGATTCACAGAGCTCTTCTGCCTTCACCTCTCGACCACGGAGACTGGCATCTGTGGAACTGAAATAGATGAGAGCTCTGACAACACCTTCCTTTGCCTGCGTAAGGAGAAAGTATATAGAGCTAGCGAACGGAAGTCTGAATGAATTGCCAGAACTGATCCTCCCTCACAGCCCAGATCCGAGTTAGGGCTCAGTCTCCTAACTGGTCAGGAAGGGAGCGCAGATCCCCTCCGGCTCAGCTACCAAAGCACACAGGTCCCGTGAGACCCGCAGCGGCGCACTAGCTCCCCCTGCAGTGGGAAGGAAAACGCACTGCTGCTTCTGGAAGTGAAGGCACCCGGGCTGCGGAGGGCTCTCACTTCCCGGGGGCTCTCACTTCCGGGGGGCTCTCACTTCCGGGGGGCTCTCACTTCCGGAGCGGCAGTGTTCCTGCGCCAACTCTCAGAACGGATTAGTGTGGAAAAGTGGTCCGGGGAGTTTTGTCTGGGGCTTATGGCTTTTCATGAGAAATTCAACGTTATTTGGAACTTTTGTTCCTTTTAGTTAACCAGTTGTGACTTGTGGGATACTTTCGAGATGTTTTTCTTCCTTTTAATTTTCACATCTTTGTGATATGTCTGGCTGTGGACATTTTGAGGATGCTTGTTTGTTTGTTTGTTTTTGCTGCTTAGGGTTATGTGAACCTCTTTTGCTGAAGGCTCCCTTCACAAAATTTGAAATCAGCCAAATTTCCTTCAAATCTCATGTAAGGTTTCACAGGGTGGTAGAGTGTATGTTATTACTTCTGTTTTACTGATTTAAGAAAATCAGAAGGGAAGGGCAAATGAGAGATGAAGACAGGTGATGTCAGTCTCAGCCACATCCTGTGGACTAAAATTCCATGTCTCCAGTTGGTGTACCTCTCTCCCACATGTGTGGTTTATACGCACTATAATTACAGATTCCTTTATTGTGAGTTATTTTCTGATGATGTGTTTAGCTTCATTTTAAATTTTTTCAACTCAATTGTTTGCTTTTTAAGAAGGTCAGAATTGCACTTTAGATAACTTGCACATTTCAAAATAGCCTTAGTTGCTCTTTGCCAACAACCATAAATTTTCTGTCTCTTCCTAAGGCTCAACAAGAATCACATTTTCATGATTTTTGTTGTCAGTACTGGGACTGAACCCAGTGCTTTTGGGCTGAGTTGCATTCCAGCTGTTTTTTAAAACTGAAAGTGTCTCACTTAGTCACCTAATTGTCCTCAAACTTGCTATCCTATCTCAACCTCCCATGGATGCTGGGAATAGAGCAAGCACCCAACATTTGCCTTGTGATTACATTTAACACACCATCCTTAATTCCATTTCCAGGTGCTTACGTGTCCTTCTTTGAATCAAATAGCAATGAATAATTTAGAAAGTGTTTCCTTTATTGTGCTTTATGTTAGGTAATAGAAAATTGTTTTCACATAAGCTATGAAACATAAACTGTATTTCCCTTGTATTCAAGCAAGACATGGGTATGTTAAGAAGACTAGCACTTTCACAAACTATAGTGAAATACTACATTATTAATTTCATCTTTAAAATGGTATGGACATAGTTCAACAAAAAAAAGAGAACAGTTTGCCATGGTTAACTAGCACAGTCACAAGCCCCACTGTGTACAGGAGCAAAAACACAATATGGTAGAAGCACTCTTTAAAAAGGGAGCATTCACTTCTTTCTGTCCCTTCTAAGATCTTGTGCTTTGAGCCTGTAAAATATCATTATCAATTATCAAAATGACTTCATCAGATATCACCCTGCTTGAAACAAGCATTCTAGCCAATGACCTGTATTGAATGGCTCCATTTTAAGAAACTAAGAGCTAAATTCTTCATTAAAATCAACATAGATTCGATCATTTTGTATTTCTTTGATGATAAAGAAAATATAGCATTGTGGGGAGTGCCAGCGCTCTAAACAAATGATGTATACAAGCAGGCCAAAAAGTTTTCAGATATAATTTATTCATCTTCAAGGGGATGAAATTCCATTTTTAAAGCTCAGAAAATATGGAGAGTTACAAAATGGTATTTAATGTATAATGCAACCATTTGGTCTAAATTTATACTTTGATTATGAACTCATCATAGTTCATCAATTCCATAAAACTCCTTTCTGTGGATGGACTTTCGGGGATTTTTGAGTAGCCACAAAAAGCTCTTTTGCTGCTATTCAAATAGAACTTATTAACTAATGAATAATAAAAAAAAAATGTTTTTCCTAATATAAAGAGCAAGTGTATCTGTAAAACTAAACTACAAATGGAAATCCTGGGCAAAATTGTGGATGCACTAATTATTTGCAAAAAATTTACCAAATTGTGGTCCTGATCCCCACAAGAAGAACACTGGCAGTGAAACACCAGGCTCATAAGAATAGATTTGATGCCATTTGGAGGGTGGCGAAGAAGAAGGTAAGAATTCAGTCATCTAAGCTTTCCATGAGTTCTGTGTCAGCTGATGGCTGCAGGTAATGAGGACTGTAGTCTGACCATGAATCCCTATGTATTTCAGGTACTTTGACTATTTTACTTCGCACACAAGATAGCAGAACTAAAATTCCTTTCAAATTTATTTACAGAAAAGATCAATAAGACCGACAATTTCTGTGTGCTTTTCTGTCCTCTTGACTGTGAAAACATGCACCCAGGCGTCCATCTCTGTGAATCAGCACAAATGGGCTCAGAATTGCATAACCAAGTGTCAAATATTTGTGAATATTTAATATCACAGAATCAATATTGAGAGAATAACTAAAACACATGGAAAAAGCACAATCTGACCAATAAAAGACAAGAAAACAAAGCATCAGAAGGAGCACACTTTGAGCAGCTTTGATCTCAGGGGGAGCTCTGTAGAGGACGTTGGAGCTCTGCAGGTAGAGAACATGTTGGTGGTGCTTGTGGAGAGCAAATATCAGGTATCCACTGGCCCCACTCATGATGGCCTGAAACACAGCATCACGTAGGACCATCAGAGTGAGAAATGTCCATCTGATTATCCAGCCTTCAGGTAGAAAATAGCAATACTTGTCACCTTTACTAATTTGTGATATGTTCACACTGTTGATGCTTATGACAGAAAATGGTAAGTTCATGCTTATTAAGGAATTGAGAATCCAAAAGAAGACAAATATGGGAAGGATATGCCATGGTGACTTTAGCTTGAGCCTCCTCCACATTGAGTCTGTGGGACTGATGGTAACAGCCTGGACCACCGTGAGGAGACCGCTAGTGCAGATGGACAGACCGCGGGCCACCCTCACCATGTAAATAACAATCTTACAGCCTGTGTCATGAAGGAAGTTTTGCTGCCCAAGAGCTGCTATTGTCTTAGGAACCCATTCTGCAAAAAGCATGATGCTATTTGCAAAAGCCAAGTGGATGAGAATAAAGTGTATAGATTTCATCTCGGTTCCTCCAAGGAAGAGAATGTAATTCACAAACACAAAGACGTTCCCCAGAATGCCAAGTACAGTTGGAAAAAAGAAGATAATTCCCTTGACAAGGTTCCAAATCATTTCTTACTCATACACAGGATAGAGTGGGGCCAATAAAATGTCAGTAATGCTTATCTGCATCTGCAAAAATAGTTCACCTCCTAGTGTTTTTCTGAAGTATAAAGGACAGTCACAACGTATGTAATGATACAGATGATTCCCTTTTTTACGTCATCCTTTGTGGTTGATTCTGTGTATTCTCAAATGTCATCTTGACAACCATTATTCAAACATCTAAATTTCAACCCAGATATTATTTTTAACTACCAGCAAAACCAATCTACTTGTTAAAATCACTATATATGTCATCAACATTAAGTATCAGCAGGGATGAATTGAACCCCAAATTTCTGTAGTGAGTGGGGGATGCCATACAAGAGCCATTTACTATGATCTACAAAAGAGGGGGCGTCTGAGTTCCCTATGAGTGACCTCAGGGACCTATGTATGAAGCCAGGATTCATTCTGGATGTGTTGATGTTTATTAAGGTGGATTAGAAACTGGGGAATAATTGGGTGTCATGTGTGCCATGATATGAGGGCAGCTTATAAATTAGGCTCCCCATTAATGGCTGCATGTAGCAAAACAGGTTGGAGAACCATAGGTATGGTAAAAGAACACTTAAATAGAGGATCACAGTAGAATTTTCCAGCTATTGCAAGACCCTGGGAGAAACAATAATTTGCAGCCTGCAAAAACCAGGTGATTTTTCCCCCACTGGACAACAATAGTGCTGCATTAGTCTTTGTCATCCAACATGATTTTCATGCCTCAGGTTTGAATAGCATTTGACTCTTTTACATCTAAATGTTCCAATCTCATTTCCCACAAAAGCAGTTTATGTCAAGCTATGGCAAGTTTCTCTAAAATGAAAGAACCCAGAATCTCTAATCTAATTCCTGGATTTGCTTATAGGCTTCACTTTCTGTACTTGGAATACATCTCAGTAAGCACTCCTCCCCTCTGGTTTTCTACTAAGTATTAAGGAATTCCCTTTTATTTGACTGTCCTGAAGGTCCACGTCAGCATGAATTATGTAAACATAGTTTATACTAAGGTTTGACACCAGATAGTATCATGACTCCGTGGATATTGGTGATTGCCTTTAAGCATTCTTCTCCCTAATAGACAAATGTCTGCATCACTGTATTAAGGAAAGATACACAATCATGAATATCTAGCAGAATGAACTATGCTACAAGTTTTCATAACAAGGGCTGGCGATATAGCTCAATAGCACAGCGCCTGCCTGGCAAGCGCAAGGTCCTGATTTCAACTTCCAGTTCCCAAAACAAAAGTTTTCTTAACAAGCAGAAAAGTATTATCTAATAAGTCTCAAATACAAACTGGTTGAATATTTATTCAGAGACTTGAATCTGTTAAAAATGATTGCACCCAAAATACTGCAAAGCCATTATGAACTCCCCAGGTCTTTTCATGGACTCAAAAAATGGTTTCCTGATGTTTTTTTTTTCTTATAACTTCCAAGGGGTTCACATTTACTTCCAGTCCTCTCTTTACCTTTCCAAAATTACAAAACTCTGAATCAGACTTGGAATCTATCCTGGAGACACCTAAGTAGTCACTTATTTTGTTTCTGAGAAAATGGAATGAAAAAATGTCAGAGGAGGTTTTCTCAGCTTGTCTTGGGAACAAGTACCACAAAGTATTATAATAAACATATTTCCCATTCAGGTTGATGCACAGTGCCCTGTCTGGATCTAACACCCAAGGCTAGGCCAGGAAGGCCATCCATTCTGAACTCAACTTTCTCAACTCAAATAATGGGACTAGTGCTTATGGTTGCAAAATATAAGCAGAAAATTAAAGTGAGTTACCTTAATTTGTACTAAGTCATATCCTGCCAAATTTGTACTAGGAATTCACAAAGAACAACTACAATTTTTTATCAAGACTGTTCATAAGACTCCCATCAAACTGCCATATAATATATGTATTGGTATAGGGAAATTTTAAGAAAATATACACAAAAATATCTTCATAATAAACACAAATGTTTGTAAAGAGTTAGCAATGTAATAGAAAAGACAAAGCTAGTCCACCTTAGGAATATACGAATGCATCTAAAATGATGTAAACAAACTTTATGAAACCTAAGGATGCTGACAGAGATAGAATACTGTTAAAATTGAAGAAAACAGATTTGCCTAGTAATCTGAAAAGCCCCTCATTCCTCCTAATTTCTGGAAGAATGCAAGCTGAAAGCCATGTTAAGGCCACCCAGGGGCTCTCTGGTAACCCCACGCTGTGCCAGCATTTCTGGAGTCACAGATCCCCCCGGAACCCATCTCCTTAAATTTGTTGTCCTGTTAAAAATCAAAAGAAGAGTGAATGTCCTAAGGCTCTCAGACCCTTTCACCAACTCTCTTGCTTAGTCAAAACTAGATTAACCTTTAATCTCCTGAGGGAAATGTACCTGGCACAGGTGAGCAAGTGAAAGACTGGTCAGGTGTTCTCTCCTGGCAGCTGTGGTGCACATGAGCTCTGAGTTGGTCCACCCGGCAAGGTGAGGCTCCCCAAGTCCTATACTTGTACCTTCGTGATTGCAGAGCTCTGGGATGCCAGGAATGGACAAGTGTCAGAGTTGTCACCCTGTCAGGGAGAAGGAAACCCTCTGCTGAACCTCATTTCCCTGATGTACAACTTTCCCTCTCTCGCCACAATTACTGTGTTTGGCTCAGAAGTTATTTCAGGTTTAATTAGGGTTTAATTGTTTTAATAGAAGAAAGTAAAAATGAACAACCAGCAAAGTGTTCCTGGCTAGAGTTTGCCACTTCTGTAGAGCTCTCTTCAGAGTTCCAAGCTGTCACTCAGAACAGGGACCAACTCTTGAGACAGAATAAACCCCTGCACTTTCTTCCCAAGATCTTCAAACACAGCACACCACAGCTCTGGGACTGTTTCCTGGATAAGCTGCAGCTGTGGACCAGCACAGGACAGCAGTCACCTTGTTCTACCTGCTCACAGCGGCAGTTCTGGGACAGTGTCACCAATTTTCTTTTTTCCTTGTTGTTGAACAAGAAATGGGATCAAAATCTAGTTAGGCAAACACTCTTTTCAAAAACTAATCTTGGCATTATGTTTAAGGAGACTTGCATATTTCAAGCATACCCAGAATGATTTTTCTTCCATTCATCATTCCACTGCCCGGAAGATATTTCTAGTCACTGATGAAAAGGAATGTAAACACATTGATCAGAAATAAAAATAACATCTTTTGTCCAGAAGCGGGAGCAGCACAGGACTGGAAGCCAGGCCCTTGGTCACTGGTCTCCCCTTCATTTGGGGTGTGATGGTGTCATTATCTAGCGGTGCAACCACCACAAAATAGAAGCTAAATTTCTGTACCATAAATACAAGCATAGTCTTTGATATGAGTGTAATTTCTACTCCCTGAGTTTGAACATAAAAATCCAGGCACAGAGGGTTTGAGAAACTTGCACATGGTATATGTTAGGGTAAATACAAATGGAAAAAAAGAAATAATTAATTCTCCTGGTGCAATAAGGAGCGCTGTTCTCTGTCACTTTTTTTAGAGTATGTTATTTAGAAGACTTAAATTTCTTGTTCTGCCACTCTGCCTTTCTAACAGCTGCATAATACTCTTGCTAGCTCACAACCGGAAATGTTTTGCCAGAGCCATGGATCCCACTCTAAATGTGTGGTCGTGAAGGAAGACGGTGCCCTGTGCCTGACCTCAGAGTTGGAGTCCAACTTCTCCAGGGGTCTGCTCCATGTGGCACAGGCATGCCCTCTAAAACAAGATCAGAACATCATCATTCCTTTTATTAAAGAAAATTAACTCACACCAATAGTCACCAAAATACCAGGCAATTCAGCATAAACTCTGTGTATAAAAGTAATTGTCAAATCCTCTTCCTTGAGGATGAGTTGTCATTTTTCTGGACAAAGTTTATTTAATGGGTCCCAAGTGACTGGCTATAAAGATGCATTCCCCCCTCTATATTTACAGTCTCTTTAGTGATCTTGTGCAACATGTATCCCTTTCTGCCGAATACTTTATCAATAGTAGTAAATGTCATCCTCTTTTAATGAAGATTTTCAGTCAGCAGGAAATTTTAAGTATCTTTCCTCAATATACAGATAGTAAATAGCAAGATTCGGATTTGAACTCAGAGAATCTGACCGAAGAACTGAATCCCCCTCACCACCTGTTATAGCCTCTATTGCTGATACCTTGGCATCCCACTGGGCCTGTCTGTCTTCCCATCTGTCTTGGAAAGGTGGGCTTCCCAGTCCCTGTACGGCTCACAGCTCTCACAGAAAAGAGAAGTGGAGTGTAAGGAAGAAGCATGGCATATCTTTCCAAACCCCACCTCTCTACGAGTGGACTGGTTATTGTCATCTTCAGAGTGCTCTGGAGGGGGATCTCTGGGGTAGAGAATGTGCACCTACCAATGCCATGCTCTGTTCTCACTCCACCTTTACTGTGTTTTCCTCAGGTGGTTTCTGGCATGTAAAGAAGAAACCACGAATGTTAATTACTGATCTTTCCAACATCCAGTGAAAGTATGAACTGTTATGGTGCTCTTTTGACACAGCATGAAACCAAAGGTGCGAGCTGTAATGTACTTGGCCTGAAGCCACATGTCAATTGATAGAATATTATAATCAGAGTCTCTTCTCTCATGCATTTAATAAACTTAAAAACTGGGCATTATTTGGTAGTATCTTAACTTTGTATTTGATTTGGCTTTGTTGATTTGATAAGTAACTTACTGTAGGCACACACTGTAGGTGTTTAGGGTTGTAAATTTTTTTCTCTTTTTGAGACAGGGTTTTGGTATGCAGTTTGGGCTGTCCTTGAACTCACTTTGCATCCCAGGCTGGCCTCAAACTCACAGTGATCCTCTTGCTTTAGTCTCCTGAGTGCTGGGATTGCAGGCGTGCACCATCACACCCAGCAAGATTGTAAATGTTACCACAGAATTAACCACATTTTGTATAAATATTGCCCCCCCCACTAACATTTGAATGC